TAAGTTTGATGTCTTGGGTTTTCAGCATGCTTTACCTGAATGGGTGTTGTCCTGGATTCCCCCACACTGATCACCCGTGTGCTTGTATACAATTTGGACACAGTGTTGCTGGAGTTATTTATATTTTCCCACGTCAGATTTTCCCCATGGCCCGAATAAGGGGGTGGTTTTGTGGATACTCATTGACGTGGTCACTGTCACTTTGTATGTTGCTTTGCTCCTGAGAAACATCTACAACTTACCTGGAAGCACACGCCTGGCTGTGATGCAAACCCCTGTGCACCCCTAAACTAGCCCTGAAAATTGAGGCAACAGCTGAAATTTGCAGCTCCTAAAAAGAGCTCATTTTACATGTAGTGCAATCACATTTGGGGGGGGTTGTTTGTGTTCTTCAGTGTCCCATAACTTTGTCAAAGATCATTACTGATTCTTAGTTAGTTGTGGAATCAACAGGGCCTTTCTTCGTTGCATTAATCATAGAATCATTGATTTAAACAGAACCATGTTTTGTCCATCTGTCCTTTTTTAACATGCCCTCTCAGTTCCCATCTCATGAGGCTGTACAATATTAGGGTTAAATACCCATGAGTGAAAAAAGCCCATCCTTTGGGCACAACTACACCCAGTGCCAAGAAGCTGAAGTATTTGCTCAAGTCCTTCTACCTTTCCTGACAACCCGCCAGGAGTGAATTCCTTCTGTCTGGTTCACCAAACAGCTTTTAGCAAACCCAGCCTGGATCTGCAAAGCCCAGGTGTTGGGGGGGTGGCTCCCTGTCATTTTTTCTAGGTGTTGTGTTCTTAAATTATCAGAAATCCTGATCCATGACAGGTTCTGCACTTGTGATTTCTGATCAGGATGAGAACAATGAGACAGAGGTTTCCTGGAGAATCCCCTGATTTAACTGAACTGTACCCACTCATTGTTGGTAATGGACCAACTGCATCTTCCTAGAAGTAGTTTTTCTTTAAAACTGGAGGGCAGGGAGAGAGGCAACGTTTGACACTGTCTTTTGAATGTGTTCCTTACAGAAAACTTTAAGCATATACAGGTGTCCTGACACGACAGTGATGCCATGTACAAACCAGCAAATGGCACAAGGATGGGAACTAAATTTGCACACACAGGTGTGTGATTGGGTTTTAACACACACAGAAAAATATTATAAAGTAAAAGCTGACCCGCACCAGGACACTGAGCTGAAGTAGATTTTTAGAAAATGGGACTTCTTCCCAGACCCCCTTTGGCATGGTGAAAAATCAGGGGAGGTATTTCTGAAGGAACTGAAAACACTGTTGCAGGGTATTGAGTGCTGACTGTCAGCTGTTCTCTCTCTGTTACAACTCACAGCCTTTCCTTCCTCCGTGTGGGTGGGCAGGGGAGACCAAGAGTAGATTTGGCATTTAAAACAGATGTCCCCTGGGAACAGCAGAGATGACACTTGGGTTATCTTAGTCAAAACTGCAGGACAGCAAGCGAGGGGCTGCAAAAGAAGGGGGATTTAATAGTCAGGAGTTTCAGGGCAAACTCAATATATGCACATTTGATGCAGTGTACATTTTTGCTTCTGAAATTTAAAACTGAATTGTGTTTTTCTGATCAGTTTATTTCTTTAAATTGAGGATTTGCATGATTTAATAGAGAGGGGTTATGCACGTTTCCCTAAGACGTGCATATTTTGTGGTGCAGAGTACTAAATTACCCATTTCTATGACTAAAACCTTTTACTGGAACAAACAAAAACATTACAAAAAAACCTGGACATGAAAAAAGTGACACATTCATGTGGGAAAATAGCATACATATTGTTTTAGGGTCAAAGTGATTTCTACAGGACAAGTGGAAAGGGTGCAGCAGGGGAGGTTCGGGTTGGACATCAGGAAGAATTTCTTCATGGAAAGGGTTGTCAAGCATTGGAAGGGGCTGCTCAGGGAGGTGGTGGTGTCTCCATCCCTGGAGGTGTTCAAGAAATGACTGGACATGGTACTCAGGCCATGGTTTAGTTGACAAGGTGGAGTTCGGTCAAAGGCTGGACTTTATCTTGGAAATCTTTTCCAACCTTAATGATTCTGTGATTCTACTCCATGATTTAGCTTCAATGTGCATCTCAGTTGTGTATCTGCACTAAGGACATCTCTTTTTCTAGTTATCATTCTGATACTGCATCCATAGCACCATCCAAAACTCATTCCTGGAAGGCTGTTGGGCTTTTTTCCAGCACCTGGCTTTGAATCCTGGAACGACCTGCAGAGTCATTATTCATGGCTATTCACAGTTCAGAAGCCCAGGAGACATAGAAAATGTCCAGGGTATGTAATCAAGGATTAGTTGTTGCCAGCTTCCAAAGAAATGAAGGTGGGAGGAAAAAAAAAATAAAGGAAAAAGGACAGGAATACAAACCCAGTTGTTTGAAAGCAGAATGGGGGATCTTAGAGGAAAATTATTATTTCTGAAGTTGCTGGAAGTGTCCCAGTGTGTACACACAAGGAACATTGTTCTCCCCCAGCCTCTGAAAAGCTAAGAAGGTAGCACAGGTATTACCTAAAATGCCAACTCAGTTCCTCAAAATCTCTGGAATTTTGCAATTCTGAGTTTCATTTGATGATGCTTCTTGAAATTTTCAAGAGCTTTCAGGTCTCGGTCCAGCTACAGCACTGAGTTAAGAAACTTAATCAGAATCAGCTCTGCAAAAAACCCCCAACCCTTTGTGTATTAAAAAGAAAAAATAACCCTCTTGTTCCAATATAAAAATACAGTGAGACACCAGCAAAAGAAATATTCTCTCTCCTTCCTGGCCTTAATATGGATCTTGCCCATGGAACCATATATACTCCTATGTATCTTAGAGAAATCAGTAGCTGCACAGTAATTGAATTTGTAATTACTTGTAATTGCACATATAAATAAGTCTCCTTGTCTTTCCTGTGTGCCAGCCCCTGCTGAAAGCAAGTGGTCTAAATCTTAAAAAAGACCAAACAGGGTTATAAACTGAGCTGCTCAGAAATGTGAGGCAACATAATTTTGACGAATGTTAAGAAATTCAGGAACGTGTCCACAGTTTGCAGCTCACAGTGAAAGGCTGCAGGGGAAAGAGGACACACTCATACAGAGCAAAAGTGACATGCAAGTCAATCACTGGTTCCTTAGGTATTATCTGTGTGCTTTTTCGTGACTTTAAAAAAAAAAAAAAAATCTAAGTTAAAGAATTCTTGGATCTTAACAAAGAATTATCTAAATTAATTTTTATTACCACATTCACATTTAGTATATGCATCAGCTTATAGTTAGGATTCCGAGATCAACTTAACAAAAGGTGTGCCAGGAATGATGGTCAGGAGCAGGTCCAAGAGCCTCAGCTCCTGACTTGTGCTAGTAGTGACACCAAAGTCCAAGGACCAACAGAGAAGGTAAATATCCACAGATTTTCCCTGATTACTTCATAAGCCCTGGATCACACCTTAGTTGCATCAGGAAGACAAACCAAACCTGACTTACAAAGGTCACATTGCTTTCAGGTTTTAGGAGGGTATCTACATGGTAACTTGTCATTTTCTGTTTTAAATACACCCCAGACTTAAACCCACATACCTCACACACTCTGAACTTGCATGGATCTACATATGGATTTTAAACAAATAACACAGTACCTAATATGTGTCCCAGCCTTATTGTTGCTTTTTTTGCAGAATCCTCATTTTACACTGCATATGGAGTTTATTTTCCCTTGTTTTAGACTTGAGGATATTGCTCTGGTTTTTACAAAGAGGCTTATTTAGAAACAGCAAACCAGCTCACCAGTTCCTTAGAGCTAAGGCTTCTGATTCCTTTAATGGCTTATTGAAGAGGGGATTCATCTTTCAGGGGAATTTGAAGCTGATTAAAAACACACCATATGGGGCATAATTTAGGTGATATAAACACAGAATCACAGAATGGTTTGGGTTGGAAGGGAGTTTAAAGATCATCCTTTCCAACACCGTCCACTAGCCCAGGTTGCTCCAAGCCCCATCCAACCAGGCTTTGAACAATTCCAGGGATGGGGCAGCCACAGCTTCTCTTGGCAACGTGTTCCAGGACCTCACCACCCTCACAGTAAAAAATTTCCTCATAATATCTAATCTAAACTTCCTCTCTTTCAGTTTGAAGCCATTCCCACTTGTCCTTTGCAGGTGTGGGGTTCTTTTGTTTTGTTTTGTTTTGGGGTTTTTTTGGTTGGTTGTTTATTCATTTCAGAATAAGGAAAAAAATTGCTCCCTGGCAACAGTGGAGTTAAAATTATTTCCAATGATATCACCAGGAGTTACTGGCACTACTCTCAGACACACTTCTGAGGTCAAAAAAAATGATCAAATATTCCTGTGTCTAGAACACGCACTACTCAGCTATCCACAGATTAACCCTTTAAAAACAAAAATGATCCAAAATCCTTGGGGAAATATGTTCTGGAGTAAGAAAACATCTACAAAAAGATCTTTTTTTTTTTTTTTGTAAGAAAATGGTCAATTATGCTTAGAACTGCACATTCCTCAGGGTAAAGGGAAACCTGTCAAACAGATTGCTAAGCAAGGCAGGGCACCTGGAGGCTGTACCAGCTGTGGCCAGTGCAGTCACACACAGCCCCTTCTCCAGGTGTGCCGGGCTCTGGGCTGTTCCCTTCGGGGGGCACACGTGGATCTCACCATGCCAGATGCCAGGGAAGAGGGAGTAGGAATCAATAATGCTCCCATGCTAGCCAGAGGAAATCTTCTCTTCAGATCACCCACGTTTGACTTCATCTTTGCTGAGCAAGATTCACACACCGGATGAAATGAGTCTGAGATTCTTGCTGGAGAAGAATCGCTGCCTTGTAATAAAGAGGCTGCTCCTTTCCTGAAGATTTCTGATTTAGCAGAGCATGGCAATTTCAGAAATGCACTACAGTCTGTCTGAACGAGTTAACACACGGGACTGGCAGAGAGGAACTCTCTTCAAATAAGTCACTACCATTTATGCTTGGAACCACTACTGGAAGTTTGATGTCCATGCCATTTTAATTAATAATTTTGAAACAACAACAAAGGAAAAAAACCCCACCCAAAGTCACACACATTATGGACTATTTACCTGCTAATGCTTTCTTTCATCGAAGCTGCTCCTGCATTACAAAAGCATAATAAAAATCCCCATACTGGTAAGAACTAGTAAACATTTTTCTTCATTTGCATAAACAAGAAACCCCAAACAAATACAGAGGCCAATGACTTTCCCTGGCCAGGAACTGGTTAAACAGTTTAAAACTACGCTCAAGGTTTCTTGAAAACATATTTGTCTTTCAGCCAAACAACACTGTTAAAGTCATGTAAATGGTTTGCTTTAAAAATGTGCTTTTTCTGTTCACAGAGAACAGCAGTGTAAAAATAAATCATCCAAGAGGCATATTCTCATTTTTAATTTTATCCCTTGATAGGTCAGCTGCTTCAAAAATCCCTTAACAACCAAGGACAGAAAAGTTACAGGGTTCACATTTTAAAGATTGTCGATGGTGCAGACCCAGTGCTGCCAACCCACAGAGAGATTTATGGGCCACTTCTGTCACGACCTGAAAACACTGGATTCTATTAACTTGAACTGTGTCTCTTTACAGGAGCCCACAAGGTTGGAAAAGCATTTCACTGCCTTCTCACACCTTGCTTTTCTCTGGCAAAACCAGCTGTGATCACTCAGCAGGTCCTAAAGAACTAAGTCACAGAAAAGGAGCATATTTGATATTTCCAGGTGACAAGAAGGAACAGATAACCTGATTTGGGCAATCACTTAAAAGCACCTTAGTGGCAATCTCACTGTGCTTTACACACTGGACGATCAGGTTACTTCAGGCCTTGAAAATTAAACAACCCCAAACCCATTTGAAGGTGTTTAGCATGCCAAAGGCAGGGGGTGGGGGGAAAGGAATCCACATCGAGCTCGGCAAAATGAACCTGCTGCTGCTTCAGCTGCACTGAAGAGGGAAGAGCAAAGTGCCCCCAGCACAAGGCTGATGATTTGATCGTTTGCACACCACAATTAAACGTGCATGTTCATGGATATGCTGTTTTCAGGAGGTGGTGAAGAGTCTGAATTTATTATTAGGAAACCAAAAACATTTCACTTAACTGTTTAACATGCGAGATTTCCATGAGGGAATGAAGGGTAGTTACATTTCCAACAGGATTTCAAAACTACACTTTGCCTATTCAACTCTAAGCTGAATGTAAGGCTGAAAGGTTGATGAAAAGACTAATCAAAGTAACAGAAGTCAGAAAGACAACAATAATACAGCACCTAAAAATGGGTAATTTACACAGTTTTGACATTTGTGTCTTGCATAGACCAATACTTATTAATTTTTTTTTCCTCCCAAGATGACTCTGCTTCAGAAAATAAATGTTAAAACATCTTTAATTACAATTAAATGCATGTGTTCCAATTTTTCAAAATACCAGGGTGTTCTGGATTTTTGTTTGTTTAAGTGCAAATATCATCCCTTGGAAAGGCTTTGTTTCATCCTGTGGGCTGTCAAGTTCATAAAGTCAGGAAGATGAACCTCTAATTCTTCCAGAACCAAATCCACATGTTATTCATGCATTAAGTCCTTGTGGCTTCATTCCACTAGAATATCCATAAACCTGAACCTACTCTGGAAGCACAGGAACTGGGAACTCCAGTTCCTCACTGTGGGTCTGGCTTCTTGGCTGCATTTTGAATACCAAAACAATTACGTGGTGCACACCAGGCCAACATGAGTTCCTGCCCTTCCAAGCCCTTCATCCATACCCTGGTTGCCACTGGAAGAACACCCAGGTATGCAGGCAAAATAAAGCTGGAGGGCTCTCCAAAAAGTTCCTAACAGAGATCAGGTACCAGAACAAAGAACCAATTCCCTGGCAGATAAATGCAGCCTGATATGGAGCCTTATGGAGTTTCCCTGAGGTCAGCAGGACTCCACTTTGACACAATATCCAGACGTAGAAAAAACCCACTGCAGAGCCAGAGATGATTCTAAATATTTTCTAACATGATTATTTCTTCGTAACAGTCATTTAGAAATATATCCTGATCGTTTTGGAATTGGTTTACTAAACTGCAATGCTTCCAAAGTTAAAAAGCGACAGGAAATTGCCTTGCCTGTTACAGGAATCTTGAAAAAACTGGACTGAGAACCCTGTTTGGGGTTAGAAAAATAAAAATTATAAGTTTCAATAATCATAACTGCAGAAGAGTCACACTGATGTTTTAAAAAATTAGTTCTATTGCATTTGAATATGACTTTACTTGGGGGCAGGGGGGCAATTACATATGGGTTTAAATTTATGTCCCCTATAAAGACTTTTTAACTAATGTAAACATGTACCTTTCCTGAATGGTGAAACTTTGCTGAAAGCAAAGTTTTCTTATACAGGAAAAATGAAGGACACTACTTTTTCTTTTTTAAAACCAAGAGAAGAACAAGCACTCCTGTGCAGTTCACACCCACTACAGAATTCTCACTGAATTAAAAGAAAAGGTTTGAGTTTCATATGTTAAGCAATACCTTTGATTATACTGGTAAAGCCTTTCCAGTTTTAGGAATTCACATTCCTATGTTTTCATGTTCCTAATCTTACAGTGAAACTATTCCATATTCCCCTTTCACAGTAAACTCTGTACAGTTCAGTCTCTGGGTACTGATAAAGTAGCTGAAGACAAGGTTGCAAATTTTTCAGAAGAATAAAACTTCTGCTGCATGGAGGGTGGAGGGAATAAAAAAAAGGAAAAAAAAAAAAGCTGACTAGATAATGGCTTCTTTCTGAAAAACACACTTTCAGAAGTTTGCAAACCCTGAGGCTTGGTTGTTTCCAATTGAGTTCCAAGTGGCACATAACAACATATTCCTGAAGCCTCTTCCAGTTGGTTGTATAGATATTAAATTGCTTTAATGCCTTCTCTCTTTTTAGGATCTCAGTCCTCACAGTTTTGAGGTGTGGGCAAATGCCCATTGCCATGCTATCTCCAAAGGATGGAAGTTTTGCCCACTTTGGTTTACCCTTCCCTTCACTGCTGGCTGTTTGCTACCCCCAGGATCAGCTGGATGAGCTGCTTCCAAGCCCACCTGGAAGCAGGATGGGGAAAGCCTGAGGCAGCAACAGCTGGTCAGGGAAGGAAAGGATATGGTGAAAAACAGCCTGGTGCTCCAGCACAGCCTGATTTGGAAAAGCAGGTGTTTGTCCACGGGCCTGTACTCACTAAAAGGCAGATTCCTCTGCCTACATGCTACAAGTACAAGGATTAAAGGTCTATTAAACATAAACAAGGGTGGCTGAATAAAAACTCCAAACCAACCAACCAACATGACCTGTTGTATGATGGAAACTGTGGGGGTGATGAAGCACTTTTGGAGTTAAATCACAAACAATTAAACCCACAGAATCTGTCTTTCTGTTCCAGTAATCTCAGTTATCTTTTGTAGGGGCAGTAGGTTGAATGTTTCCAAAGGAGCAGGATTCATACGTGGTTTCTGTCCTTTAAAATATTTTGGGGTCAAACTGGATTTGACAACAGCCTTTTTGAGATAGTTATGCTATGTCAACATCTTCCTAATTAAACCTTTCATTATTCATTTACTGTGCTGTTTAACAAACACCCCACATCAGTGGCAAAGCAGAGAAGCCAGAAGAAAACAATTTCTTTAGGAATTACCACTCCAGTGGAGCAGATCATTACAGCATTTGAACTAAGGAAGATGCTCAGCCAGGAATAAGTGAGTGCCACAGCAGAAACATCACTTGTGTTGAGTAAAACCAACACCAATTTTTTTTTTAAATAGATACTAGTCACTGAAAACTAGTATTATTTTCCATGTGCATATGGCAGTGCTACTGACATTTCTTCCACAAGTTTTTCTTCACACCAACTCACACCTCCTTTGGAATCTGCAATGACCACCTTCCAACCATTTAAGCACATGTGCCAATCCTACTGAAATCAACGGGACCCACATGCCTGAGTGTCCTGTGAAGCACAAATTAAGTATTCAATTAAATACTTGCATCTGTCCAAGGGCTTTGTTCAAATACAGTGTCTAAAATCTAACATCTTTTTTTCCCCTGTTGTATCAGAAACACGACTAGATTTGGCCTAAACCAGAAGGAAGTTCTGATCCAACCCCTTACTGTGACAAATAGGCAGAGATTAAAAAGAGGATGTTGATCATACCACGAGGCTCCCAGAATCTGTTATTTGTACTTGACAAAGGGAAATACAAAAGTTCCAAAAGTTCGTGGATAGACAGACACAGACTTCAAACTTTGGGAAAATAAATGAACTGTTACCACAAAAAAAAAAAAACCAAAACCAAAAAACCAGCTGTTTTCACAACAGCTCTTCGTTTTTAAATGACACACAAGGATTTTCTACTCTAATAAAGCCTGTATATTCTGGTAGTAAACTTCAGATTTGAAGAAATTTTTATATAAATCCATAAGTTATATTTCTTTTTGTATTAGGGGAAAATATTTCAAATGCAATAAAATAGCAGAATTCATGACTGTATAGTAGGTAACTTTTCATTTTTTTCAGATTCAGTTGTACAAACTATAAACTGTTAAATTCATCTAGTAACTGGAAAAGTTGTGGGTATTTGAATTTACTCACCTGAATAGTCATTTAGCAAATATTTTCAGATACAAGTCTAGATACAGAGTTATGTAATTTGAATATTAGTTTACACATAATATAAATCAATGTTTGACAATATCAAAATCCCATCAAAGAGTGGGCCCTTCTTATGCTACTATCAAATATAGTATATCACTGTGGGATAGCTGAGAATCATAGAATGCTACTGTAGGCTTGTTTATTAAATTGGGTCAGTTTTCAGACCTTCCAAATAGGAATACTAAACATTTATTTTTCCCCTCTGGAAATTTTTTTTTTTTTCTCCTCCTGCTTAATACAGTCGTCATCCCAATTTCTAATGAATTTATAAAAATATTTTTTTTTTTATCCAATAACCCCAGCAAGGTAAAAATAGGAGTTTTCATAGCAAATGATAAACAGGCTCACGGACTATGAGAGAAACTAAACTTATTTAAATTGCCATACATTCGCTACTGAATCACACATCAACAGTTCCTTTTTATGTGTGTTGCTGTCCACCTCAGACTAGCAGTTTTTAAGGTGCAGAAGCATCTTTCAAATATATGCATCTAACTTAATAATTAAGTTTCACACACTAGTGTCACATGCTTTAAATTTACATCACCTGCCCATCCAAAGCTGTGTTAAATAACAGCACTAATTGAAACTGCATAATTCATTAGAAACTGCAGCACGTCCAATTCATAGGACAAAGGGGTGCTTACGTGGTTCTTATTATATTACTAGATATAATTTTCTGAAATAAGAAAAAGGAAAAAGAAACAAAAAAAAAAAACACATTTGAAAGAAGTTGCTGCACCTGCAAAAACACTCTTTAAGCTTACTATGAAATACAAAAAAGTGCACCCTTCTATATCTACATATAAAACATATTAGAAATAAAACTCGTGTAAAATGTTTGCTGTGCAAACTATAAAAAGTCAGTCAGTCAGTCCATTCTTTTTTTTTTTTTTTCCTAAGTGTTTTGTCACACTTCCTTGCTTCCTACTGCAGAGAATCGCTGTTATCCAAGACCAGCCCGCTGATGTTTGTTGTTGAGAGGTCTCCTCCATCGTCCTCCCCGCTGTCTACAGACTCATCCTCGCTCTGCCCTGCCATCATGACTTGCTGGACAGCCAAAGTAGCACCATCAGATGACAAAGACTGGAGACTGTCTACATTCATGTTGACTGGAGCTGTAATGGTGACAACAGCACCTGTAGAAGCACAATCACAGTAATTTAGCATCTTTCTTGCTTTCCAATTTTAAGTAATATGTGTTTATTATTTATAACAGGGTTTTTTCCCCAATCACCAGGAAGAAAACCTAAGAAACTAGATTAAAATAAAAGCCATATAGGTTGTCAAACACTCAAGTATCAGGAAATGCCAGGATTAGGTTGGTCAGGAATCTTAAACTTAGCTGTGTTATAGACACCCACTACAGCAATTCTCCAATCAAGTCATCACAAGACCATTTCTGCAAAGTATTCCAGTTTAATTCATTGCAGAAAAATGGGAGTGTTCATAGAGATTCAAGGGGATTTTTAAATGGATAAAGCTGCTGTCAGGTCCAGCACAGGCTGAGGGAAAAGTCTGCTACAAACTGGAAAGGAACAAATCATCAGGCATCAGGATAGAAAGGATGATCCTGAGATTAAAGCAGATATTTATCTTTCTTAAATTAGGTCTTCTTGTTTGATCTGATGCTGAGGAAGTTACTTCAGTCAAAGCCTCTCTGCCTCTCACTGTTCACCTTGAAACACGTGAGGCAGATGTAGAATTGCAGATGCTCAGCAGCGAAACTGAAGCTGCAGCCCCACAGTGCTCATCAAAGAGAACACTCCTGACGTGCACACACGCACTGAGAGAACTTAGTTCTACATCAGAGCTGCACATCTCGCTTTTGTTCTGCCCTTTCACAACTCCTGAAACAAAAGCAACAGTCTCTCGACGCAAAATCCAATAAAATGCTCCTCTAAAAACACAGGCAATTAAAGAGAAAAAAACTGACACATTTCTGTTATGTTTTCCCGGATTAAAACCACATTTACACTGAAACATGAAGAAGTTCCCCCTTCCCCCCAAAGGCATCAATCCCTTCATTTCCCTGTTACGAAGGAATTAACTACCCGTGGTCTCTCCTTACCGTCGGACATGGTGAGCTCGTTGGATTGCTGCTGAGCAACTCCTGAGGCAATGGAGTCAGGCCAGAACCTCTGCACCGGCCGGTTCTGAGCTGTTTTCTTCTTCGTTTTGGGGGTTTCGGAACAACTGGAGTCCAGCATCGGCTGCAGAATTCGCCTTCTAGCGTTGATAAACCTGAACACAACCCAGGGCAAGGAGAACTTGTGACCGGTTTGCTGCAAGTTCTCTCCCACATTCACAAAGCATGCAGTGGAAAGGAAAAAAAATCAGGAATATAAAATCTTCTCCCTGTCAGCTGGGCTTCACTTTGTTTTTTTTTTTTGAAAGCTTTTTTTCTGCTTTCAGAATACCCACATCCTTTGATTTTGGCAAACCAGCTAAGACAGTGCTTCTATTATTCTGCAGCTTGCAGCATTTTTTTCCCCCCACCTCAGAAGGAAAAATCCTCCAGACAGCACAACAGATGTACACTTCAGGATCTTATTAAAAACTAAGCACCAGAAAACTTGCTGACAGCACAGCTCAGAAAGCTGACACTCTTCTCATTAGGGTCCACCTAAAATCTAGCCCCTGCCTAACCTAGTTTGTTTGGTCTGGTTTCATTTACTTCCTTGAGCTTCCACATTACTTATTTTATAGGCTCCCTGGCTTTCCAAGGGCTGGTTCCTGATCCAAGAGACAACAGCAAACACATTTTTCACATCTTTCCCAATTCCTTTTAGTTCCCTGGTTTTCACTTGTTTATTTTAGCATGTTAATTGCTGCCCTTCCCACTAGTGAACAAGAAAATGCTTAAACCACATCTCATTAGCTACCAGCAATTAACTGAATCAACTTCAATGCAGGAGCTGTGCCAAGGAGCTGGGACTGAGGATATCATCCCTAAATCTGACAAAACACAGCCGGGACACACCTTTGCCTGCAATGGAAGGAGGTTGGTTGCAGCTGGCAGGTCCATGTGGTGTAATAAAATGCTCTTCAAAGACAGCAGTCGGATCCCAGGCCACAGAGCTCCGTGACTACATGTCCCACAGGCAGAGTTACACTGTTCCACTTTTGGAACCTGTGTTCTGTCACTATCTTAAGTATTTCCCCACTGGACCCCTCTGCAGCCATGCAGCCAGTGTCCTCTTTGAAATCTGAGGAAGATCCCTGCTGGACTTTGCTGCAGTAATTTTAGGAACTGAACCAACAAGCAGAATAGGTGCGTGTTGGCACCTTCCCTCCTCTCTTCTGCGGGGGCAGGTGTCTTATCTTACACCTCCAGTGAAGATAAAACATGCTACAACATGCTGAACCATGTCCTAGTGTAGCTGAGGCACTGCCACTCTCCAGGCATCACTGCTCAGAAGAGAACCCTTTGATACAAGGGCAGAATCAATCTCTGTTGACAGTAACTTCTTAAATGTTTGCAACCTTTACAGAGCTTCAGGTCACCGAACACCTTTAATCTTCCATTTGTTTACTTGCAGAAGAGAAATGAGAGTACTTCCATCTCTCTCAGCAATAGAACATAATTCCTTAATGTTGCAATGTTTTCTGGAGTCCTTATATAATTTAAATGGCAGGAGTGTTATTATACCTTAAAAAAATGACATTCTTGTGTATCAGTGCACAACTCCTGTATTTCTATACATATTTTGTAGCACGTGTAGAACAGCAAGTTCAATTCCAGATATCCAACTTACACTCTTAACTATTTCTATGTTGTAAGCACGTGGAGACGATGACAGATATTAAATAAGGGTTTTGCTCTTACCAGTTGTTAACCTGGAGTAGTGTCAGATTTGTTTGTGCTGCAATCTGCTTCTTCTCATCCTCTGTTGGATATGGATGCTAAAGAGGCCAAAAAAGCAAACAAAAAAAAAGGCATAAGCTTGTTTCATCTCCTCATCAAAAATAAGGACTCCTTTATTACAACTGATTAAAGTTGCTCCTCATCAAAAATGAGAATTTCTTTTATTACAGCAGATTAAAGCTGCTGGATTAAGACCATCTGACTCATTAAAACACGAACTTTAGAAACCTCACAAACTTTTACAGACATAAATAATTTAACAAGGAGTGCTTTACTACACAAAACTGATTTTATCCTTGAAAGTGTCTATGACACCATTAAACTACTGATGTGTAATTCAGAAGAAAAAGCTTCTCATGGCCGACAGTCTTTATTAAACAGCATGATCCCAGGGCAACACAGCATGTGATAACATCTGATTAGTTATGCTGTCTAAAGGCAATGTCATATGAGAGCACTGACAAGCACTTTCTAGTTAAATAAAGCTGCTCTGAACTAAACAGATGAAGTCAGTGCATGTAACACAAGAGGCGCACACGCAGCTTCCCCGTGTCAGTTTTCTGTTGTGAAATGGTTGTAAAACACAAAATATCCATCAACTAAACGCTGAAATATAACTTGAGACCCATTTATCCTTTCAGGGTAAGCTGAAAGCACAAGTAGATAGTAACACACTTGGTACACATCAGGGTTGTTGGAAAGGAGATAAAGCCAGAAAATTTGAAATTTTCCTCTATCAAAAATACCCCCCAAACCACCACAAAACACAGATGGAATTATTTTTCCTTGTGCCATGAACCAGGGTGTAGAGAGTGTTAAGTACTCAGCACAGTGAAACGAAGAAAGCTTCCCTTTAACAATGTTTATTGAGACCATGAAGTACAAATGTAACACACTTATTAAAATAATAATAATAAAATCAACTGACATTAGACTGTGGAACTACTCCAAACGACTTCAGGGAAAACTGAACTGAGATTACATAAAGGACAAGAGAATAAATTCACCTTCCTTATGAAGCAAAGTTGTAAGAGACCACATAAAAGAGTTACATAAAAAACTGACTCTTGACCATGCTCAGTCCTTACCCCTATGTGCTGAAAAAGCCAAGATCTCATCACATTTGTAGCGTGCTTGGGAAGAACTCCTCTTTTATTTTTTGATGAGCCATCATCTTGATGCAAGATGCCTAGATCTTGGTTTAATTGCAACTGAAGCTGCATATAAAATTTTAGAAGAAATAAGGCAGTTAGCACAGTAATAGTTCTGTATCAATGAATGAACAACTCATTTATTGAACAAAAAGAAATTAGGCTTGAATATTTTGAATAAACTCACTGTGTGCAAATATAAACAACTATGGAAGCTGTAAAATACTTCCAATACTTCCAAAAATCTCAAATACAGATTTGAGAATTAAACGAAGGGTAAAGTAAAATTAATTATTATGCTAGAGTTGCACACGATGATGATAAAGGTCCTGTTAAAAAATGCATCTAAATTCTCAAAGAGCAAGAGGACTTATATGGAAGAATATGTAACTCACTTCACAACACTTTTACTACTTCCTAAAGGTTCATATTTCTTCATCTTTGTTTTTCACTTTCTATGGATACATCAAATCATTTGCACATTGGTTATCTGAACATTTAGGAATACATTCTTAAATGCTTACACAGAGGTAAAAAGAAATACTGTACAAATTGCATATAAGATTCTATTTCAGACAATTATAATTGAAATCATTCTAAATCAGGTTTCTCAGACAAACTGGAGCAATTTCTTAAGCCAACCATTATGCCTGTGTCCTGTATGAAACTAGTTTTGAACAAGGTTTAAGCTATCAAATTACAACAAATATATATCTGGAGCATACTTTTATTTCCAAAATAATGCTTTACATTCTACATAATCTGCTTGTATATGGAGGCTTTATAATGAACTTTCAATAGCTCTCCACCAGTAGTTTTCCCTACCTCCAAAGCATTCTGAAACACTCAAAAAGAAGAAAGTGAAGAAGGATTTTCTATGGGTGACAAGGAATCCAAGCCCAAACCTACGCACAGGTGGGTCTGGAGATTCCTACTAACATCAAGAGTAGCCAGAGATGTTTGCAGAAGGTCAAGTCCTTTCTTTGTTTATAGACTATACACATTATTTTCGACTCAGTACTTTTTTTTCCCCATAAGAGGTATAAAAAACATTTTTCTTCAAAAACACTTCAGTATAGAAGAGTAATTTTACACATTTCTTTCTGCAAGGTGTCTGAAGGCAGAACTGTATTTGTTCTAGGCAAGTACATACATTCTCCTGCCAATTAAAAGAACACTCTGTGCACGCTTTTTTGGTTGGAAAGTCAGAATAAGGGAGAAAAGAAGCCAGTGAGTCAGTGATTACCAACAGATTCAGATGGTAGCTCCTCATTCACATTTTTAATTGACTCCAGGTTCCTGGAAGATTTGATTTACCACTTCCAGCTCCAAGAGAAAGCGAGCCAGGTTTTCTGTAACTAAAGATGGTCTAGTTTTCATGTTTCCTTTTCCTCAGTTGTTCCTTTGAACTCTCCAGAACCAACTCCCAGGAGCCTCCCCCAAAAGAGTGCTGGCCCTTATCTTTCAGGGTACGACACACTGAGCCAAATGTGAGGATCTCCCATAGTCTCAAGTGAGTATCTTGAAGGTTTTACAGCAAAATGCTTCCCAAAATAGACAGATTCTGAAGTACACAACAGTTTCACAGTACTAGTGGTTGCCATCATGAGAAAAAGTCAGATTTCTGACAACAGCAGTGTGGCACCATAATGCAATACAGTAAATCTACCTAAACCTCATTCAACAGCTAGAAGAGTTGTAAGAATTGAAAAAGTGTCTATTTAATTCAAAGGGGTTTTTGGTTTGGAGGGTTGGGGTTTTTTTTCCCTAGGGAGGAGGTTAGGGGTGTTGTTTTTTTTTTTAATTTTAGTTCTTTTTTTTTCTTATTTCTATGTGCCTATACTCTTCTGCCATCAGCAAAGGAAGACATTTAACAGGTAGGAACTATGATGTGGCAAGGGAGCTCTGTCTGGGATCTCCAAATTATGCCATGTTATACAACTTGTAGCTCCTACAGCAGCGCTTGCACTAATTTTACAAGAGTTACTACGTGCGTGTACACAGAGCTCGTTCTGACAGTCTCCCAAATTGAAACCAAACCTCTTAAAACCACTGAGATTCATCTGAACCCCAAAAAACTATTCTGTGAAGCCCATGAAACAAACCTGAGAGTTCTGGATCCGAATAGTCCCAGGTGACAGTGCCTGTGTCACCACCTGGCCTTGTGGCGTGACCACGGTGACGGGCTGATACACTGTCCCCCCTTAAAGCAAAACAGCAACACACATTACAGGTAAGCAAAAGCCCTTCAAGTATTGTTCTCTTTAAACACATAAAGACATCAGCACTGCAGACAATTCAAGAGCTTTGGTAATATATTTACTGTGTTTTTTTCCTAGTAACCATGTAAGATGTGCTCTTTGCTACACTAACATTTTCTTCCATTCACAAAAAAGACTGCACGAAATTTGACTTTATTTCCCTATATTTTGGGCACCCTAAACCTATTTTCAAAGGAAAATGTCACGATTATCAGGCTATAAAAGAAGTTAATCGTTTTGTTTTAACTGACCTAAGTCTTCAAAAAGGGTCTCAACACCAAAACCACACCTATGTGAGTGCACTGGTTAGGGCAGGTAGCTGGGTTTGTTTTAAAACCCTGCTTAGAAGGAAGATAACATGTTTCAGTTAAAATGTCATTTCTACAATAGCAGGACAACAAGGACACAGACTTGTAGGTGTGGTTCCCAACTCCAGGGAGCATGAGGCAGCCAACAAGTGCAATGTTTTAGGTAATGCGTGCTTTTGTCAAATAGAATTTTTTTTTAAAGGGGAAAAAAAGTCTCTAAAATGTCTTTGTAGCGTTGTACAGAAAGATCTCTTAATCTTATATACATGTAACTGCCACTCACATAGGCATACTTGGTACACAAAAAATTAAACCTTCATAAAACAGTAATGCACATGACTGTATTATAACAACTTCTCAGGTATTAAGACTTAAAACACATTTTTTAAAGTCTTTGTGTATTTTTTGTAACAACTATTAAAGAAACCAACACGAAGAGCAAGGTGCCAGTTGTTTTTACTTTGTCATACCTGCTACTGTTGCCATAGTTACATTTCCCTGCTGCAATGCTGATGCTGGCACCATAATCCCTTGGGGACTGAGTGTGCCTGCAATGGCACTTGGAATTTGCTAGAAAAATAAAACAATTAGTTGCTTGCATTTTTTTAAACTTTTTTTTTTTTCTGTAAGGAGATAAATCATGCTTGTGTGTTTTTTTATTTTGTGTTATGCATTTTTGGTTCTAAAATACATTTGGAGCTTAATCACAGGATTACCTTCAAAGAGAAAGAGACTTCATTAGAGGTTCATCATTACCTATATTAACTTCCTCATTATCACCAACCATTACCTTTGAAAACCCTCATGAAAGCAACTGTTAGATGTAAAACTACCTTCAGAAATTCTAGTTCTAGGTGTATATATATAGCAAGAGAAACAGTTTCAAAAAACACAAGGGAAAAAGGACAGATGAAATGACCCTTGATGCTCTGATTACAAGCATCAAAGCTTTAGAATTTTAGTTATTACCTTAATTCCATCAATTTCAAAATGATGTATTAAGTATTCAAGATGCCCAGCATGTTTTATTCTGCTCAAAATAGTTCTCACTCAACCCTGACCATGCAAACTCTTCCACACTCCTTAATGTGTATGAATAATTTCTTTTGATAGCAAATGCAAAATGTAGGAGACATACAAAAAACACCTTTAAAAGGGTTCTTTTTATCTGATTTTAGAATCTCCTTTCCACACTTCCAGACACTGAAACCTAAGTAAGGAGTGCAGAAAGTGGAGTTCAAAAGTCATTGAGGCTTTTTTGAATACAGAGCATCAGACACATGAGTAATTCAGAGAAGGGCCATCCCTTAAGATTCAGTATCTTGTACATACTTGGGTGTCAGGGCTCACTTTGCAGCATTTAACAGCAAAAATATCAACCATAACATACAAACTGTTGTTAATTGTTACCAATTTACTACAAAAAATGCCATTGTATTTAGTAATGTCAACAATATATGAACTGAGGTTCATATGTATAGAAATGGGTCCTTTCCACAATTACACATTTACCTGATGTGACATGCAATGACAGACACCTCAAATATTGCAACTGTAATCCATCAGACATTGTCTATTTGTCCCACAATACAGACTGTGTATAAAATGTATCAGTCACCTCAATATTTCAAGGAAGCAAATCAGACTAAAGAGACCTTCTTAACAAGGACATTTTTTAGTTCTCCTTTGTTTACTCTGTTTCCTACTTGCTTTCCAACAAAACAGCAAATCCAAGCTATTCTGAGTATTTACACTTGCTGAACTGAGGGAAAATCATAAAAGCAAGACAGACAATAAAAAATTGAGTCCATGTTCTGCCATATTTGAACAAATTTGTCCATCAGGCAGTGGCACACAGGTGTGCACACTAAAAAATAATAAAATAGCTCTTCCTACTCTTAGTAACATATTTGAGAAAGTAAAGGAAATTGCAGAAACTCTGTTTGCAAACTAATAGCAAGAGAAATGCAGCTATGAGTTCTTAAGGAAATCTAAGCAAAAACACACTTAGATGTATTTGAAACACACCTGAGATTGCACAGGTGAATAAGGACTTCCAGGCTCTCCACTTAACAGAGTTTCACTGTTCATTTTTGTCTTCAGGCAGGCAATGTAACGACTGCAGAAATCCTTGCAGAGTTCATTAACCTTTTCCAGCTCGAGCAGATGGATACGAAGAACTTGGATTGCTTTTACCATCTAAGGGAGAGAAGTGGGGGGAAAAAAAAGTCAGGAACAAAACAACTGTTAATTCAAAAAATATTTAATGTGAGATTTAAGCAAAACACTACTTCCCAGTACCAAAGTTCATCCAATTAAAGCAGACTTGCTAATTGCTAAGTCCTGAAATGTGAAAGGAACATAAGTAAACTACCACACAGGGGAAACAGAAAAGGACAACAATATGATCTTTGTCACATGTGACACATTAAGAAGACAGAGCACAGTGAAGGTGTTGCAGGGCACGGGATGATCTTTAACCCCACTGAAGAACTCTGTGCCATAAAAACACACAAGACTGAAAGTGAAGGAAAGTAATCCCATCCACACATATTATTTGGAAAGCAAGGTTGGAATAGGTTTGGCCACCAGCAGTTGTCTTGAGCTCTATAATTCAGAGATATCAGCTCCACATTACACCCTGACCCAAGGAAACCAAAAGTGTACACATGAGTTTGAGACACACTGAGAAGACCCTCCTGTGATTTAATCATAAATTTGTCACACAGACTGCTAGGGAGGGTGAAAGTACAGGAAATGGCCTGTCATCTCACCTGTAACCAAAACACAACAGCTTTTATCTCTCAATTAAATTAGAATAAAGAGGTCCCAAGCTTTGTCACATTGTTCAACAAAGCTTAAAGTAATCAAACAGTTTGTCAGTCCTACGGCTTTTATTTAAGTTCCTCTGCAGCTGTATGTCAAAGATGAACAACTCTCAGGTAAAACCTTGTAAAGAACTTTCAGGTGAGGAGACTGGTTATGAAATATAAATCATTAAATAAAAAGCAAGAAACCCATTTAAAAAAAATCCATGTTTAAACAAAAATCAAAGTGCAGGAGATATGTACATGCTGAGAATACTTATCATGTTTACTGTAAGAAAAAGACTTGTAAGCCTGGATAACCAGTGGCATTACATACTGCATAAAAATAGCTTAGGTGATTGTAAGGGTCATGGCAGAAGATCAAAAGCTAAAACCAAACCCAGATGGTCTAAATTTTCATGAAGCAGTAAGAAATCCAGGGCATTCAAATATGTACACAACACACTAGCAAAGTAATTATTTTTTATACAGCATGCCACCCCCCAACATTTATGTGCTATGTTAGATCTCCAAGAGAAATACCCTTTGGTTTTATGAAACTGAATAATTATAATTTTGAGGCAAAGTGCACAGCTTGATTTTATAATTATTTGGAAAAGCTTCTCCTATATGAAGGGTCATTTCCCTGGCCAGAGCACTGAATCCAATGATCAGAAATGATGCCTGATGAACTAATCCACCTATTACTTCTAACTCAAGAAGCCAACTGGGAGCTGAAGTTGCCTTTTTTCAAAGCACCCAGAGAAGATCAAGGCAGGAAAACTTCTGGGTGTTCTCCCCTCTCCACCATGACACTTCAGCTTTCATTGTGACAGATCTTCTCCCTGTTTTTCCAGCAGAAGGTATTCCAGCTGTAGGACACTCACTCACTGTAGATAATTGTATGTTAAAATAAACAAGAGACAAAAACATGAAGGGATTTAAAAAAAAAGGGAAGAAAATCTCATTTCTTCTCAGGGCTAAAAAGAAAAAAAAATTACATGTATCTTTCGAAGCACAGCTGCAGAAACATCTGAGCTGTAGATGTGAGGCAGTGGATCCAAATTAGTATCTGGTAACTCTTTGGACCTATGACACCAAAAGCCTTTGAAATAATAAGTGCTACGACCCAGCACTGAGGCATAAAACAGTGATCTTCTAAATCAGCCCAGGTTGCTGTTTAGACTCTGTTTAAATACCTTTAAACACAACGAAGTTAAACCATGCAAATTTAACTAGATTTTACCACAAAACAAAGGTCATCCATGTCTAAACATACTCTGTTCCAGAGACAAAAAAGCTTAAACTAGGAAAATTCTTCGTATGTTGCAGATCAACACATTGCACGTATGTCAGTGAGTGCTTTAAACATTCAGCTAAAACTGAGGTAACAAAAATATGCCTTTGGACACATAATATTTAACTACATTAGGGATTAGTTTTGCTCGGTCAAGAGGGTTTATTTTTCTTAAAACATTACCCATATTTGTATTATTTATTTATCAGCACGTGTTTGGAGGAAAAACAAAAGTCCTTTCTTCAGCTTAGATTTAGTTTCAAACTGATGGTCAATACCTGAAGTGAAAATTGAATTAAAGTCAGAATTAACCATAAATCAAGAGTCAGTAACACTATCCAGGTTTCTCCAGAGCCACACACTGCCACTCTACTCTTGCAGGAAGCTGTGCTAGAAGGCAAACAAAACTTTGTAAATGTGCCATGCCTGTCACCAGGACTTATTAATTAATTTACAACTACACTAATTGTGGCCATATGGCTCCTGCTCTCTTGCAGCACGGGTGGACCAAAGTTCCATGTCAGCAGAAGTTCAAGAACTCCTGATAAAATCACCCATGTTGAACAAAATTAATACAAAGAAGTGTTTTCAGAAAGGCCACGGCAGCAGTAATATTTCACTCCTGTGTTCTCAAAAGACACAACTTCAAAATCTACAACCTTGTTTCTGGTTTTTAGTGCTCCTGGACAGAATATGCCACAGAACAATGGATTTTTTTATATGCCAATTGATTCAGTTTTTTCAGCTGTAGAAATAAACCTGGACTATAATTTCACACAACATGCATGAAAGAATCTCCATATACTGACACAATCTTCTCATTCAAATAACTCTTTCCATTTGCAAAAAACCCCCCAAACAATTAAAATTCATTCACAGCTCACCTACCTCCCTGACCCAAATTCTCCTGGGGTAATTTAGGTCTTCAGGGGAAGAACACAAACTCTGAGAGGGGGGGTATCTTGTCTTCATTTGTTTTGATTTGAAAAACCTCTTTCCCCTATTTTGACATAGCTAGAAAAGGTATAACTAGATGTTTATGAGACAGTTCTGCACATTAAAATACTAAGAACACTGGTCAGAAATGCAAAAGTGTGACTTGTTCAGTCAAGAATATTCAAACTACATCAGCTGGCTTCACCACTACAACCTATCCTGACACAACTAAGAATTCAATAGGACAGTCTTTGAGAAGAGGGTACTGAACCAAAAATCCTTACCCTGAACAAAACAAAAAACTTGAGGGGTCTTCAAAAAAGTCAGTGAGTGTCCTGTTCAAATACAAAAGTGAGAGCATATTTAACACTCCTTGTTTTGTATTGTTTCTAGACTTGACAAAGCCTTAAGTAACCTGCTCTGACCTAAGAGCTGATCCTACTTTGTGCAGGAGGTTGGACTACAGACCTCCTGAGCTCGTAGTCCAACCTGATCCATCCTGTGGTCCTAGGAATGTGGGGTAATTTGAAAAGTCACCCATATGGGGGAAGAGTTTACTCTGAACAGAAGCTACACAAGAGGTAGGAACCACTCTGAGGCAACGTGATATTTATGCAGCATCTGGGTTAACACTAAGCAAAAAAAAAAAACAACAAAAAAACAGTGTTAAGTAATGAAAGTCTTAAAACATGTAATCTGTGAAAGCTCTAAAAAATTATCTGCAAACACTCATGCTGAACAACCTCTTAGACATGGAGGAGCCTGTCTGTGTAAGTCCTAAGCACAAAAGGATACAAATGGAGAAAAAAAGAGCAGTTTAGAGCAGTGGTTGATTACAAGATGTTTTATCTGTGAAAATGAGGTAGAGATGGCAAAGGGTAAGGGCTGAAGGGTATGAAGCTCCAACAGATGATACTCCATGTAATGAGGACACTGAGCTGGAAGCTGAGCATGTTTCCAGAAAGAAGCACATGCACTTGGGAACCTCTGGCTAGTGATACAGAGCAGATTTTGTTGCAAACTCAGGTCTTCTGATACTGATGCTTGATATAAGGACTAAGGTGGATGCAAATAACATTCCAAAACAGATGAGGAGGTAGTTAAAGCTTGGAAAAGAAAGCACACTTCCAGTCTAGTAAGAAGAACATGAGCACAGCCTTCAGCTTCCACTTCATTCCCACAGGGACTAGGATTTGAAAATGGGAGGTCTGCAGCACAGGATGGGTCAGGCTGGAAGGGACCACAGTGGGTCATCTGGTCCAGCCTCCCTGCTCCAGCAGGGCCATCCCAGAGCACATGGCACAGGATTGTGTCCAGATGGTTCTGGAATATCTTTAGTGAGGGAGACTTCACACTCCCTCTGGTCTCTGTTCAGTGCTGGGTCACTGCACAGCAAAGAAGTTCTTCCTCCTGTCCAGGTGGAACTTCCTGGGCATCAGTTCCTGCCTCTTCCTCTTGTCCCTTTGCTGGGCCCCCGCAAGCAGAGCCTGGTCCATCCTCTGACACCTCCCTGCAGACACTTATTGATGAGGTTCCCCCTAAAGCTGCACTTCTTGCAGCTAATCAGCACTTTCATCCAGTTCAGAGAACATCAACAGAGACACCACGAGTGACCAAGCCTCAGAAAAGAGAACAAAATTATTGAAAACTGGAAGAAACCTGCAGAGGACATTCCAAGATAGAGGACAGTTCTGGTTCAAATAATAGGCTGTGCCATGCACATCTGTAACAGCTAAATACTTACTGCAAAAAAACCCCAGAACATAAACCTGTAGCTCCCTTTTACCTCTCTCTAAATAATCTAAACCTGCGTGGTCAGTCAGTGGAGTCGGAAGGGAACAGTTTCAAAGTTCTGTTTGCAGCCTACAGTTCTTGAGGAGCAAATGTAGCTGCCACAGAAAAGCCACTTTCTCTGTGTATTTATTAGGGATGGACTGGAGCTCAGGGGGGAGTTCCAGTCCGAAGACAACTGCCTCTTCTGACTGGAAGATGGATCTGCGTTAAAATACACACATGCCTAGAACATCAAGACTTCCTACATCTCAGAGCAAGCTGATAAAACCTGTCCAGGAGTAAGAATGAAGCTTCTCAGTTTTCTTTCAACAGATCTCAGAACTGAACTTTTGCATTTTCCTGCTATATGTTCTTCCTTGGAAAGAAAAGAGGCATCTTAGACACCTCTCAGATGTAAGAAGAGACAACAACTGAAACTTCACACTTCAGGGAAGCCACAGCACAGTTTTGTGAGGTATTTTTTAGTGCTGCAGGTTTTGAACATAAACCATGGCTAACTCTATTACATGAATGCACATAGAGAAAAAAACAGGAAAATAGCAATAAACCAAATAAAAAATAAAGTTAATCAATGTAATTTCACGGAGTACCCTAAAAAACACCTTGCACAAGAAAGTGTAACTTTTTCCACATCCTTTCAAATTCTTATAATTTCTTCTGAGAAATTCTCATTCTCTTAAACACGCTGAATCCTAACACCAAAGTTCTGACCCATCCAGAAGCCAACAGTTATAGAAATGTTCTTATCCATTTCACTGTAAAAATCCTGCTTTGATCACGTGCCTGACAAAATCAGATTTGGGAAAGACACTGCAGAATAAAAGGCCTGATAACACTATTTCTGAGTGGACCACAACCCTTTGCCTTGCTGCTACAAGATCATCAATTTATGCTGTTGGAGTGTTTAACTGGAAGGAATAGAATCCCTCCATCTAGATAATAAAGTTTGAAACTTGGTTTACAGGCCAGTCTTAACAATATATGGGTATCCTTAAAATTAAGTTTCAGGTGGATGCTACCGGTATTTCCCAGTTCTGAAATCCTTTATACTACTAATGCAGGAAACCACCAATTAATTCAGAATGGGAACCATAATACCCAAGTAACAAGGTAATCTAGACTGTATCTTTAGAGCTACTCAAGTTGGAACAACCACACACTGCTCTTAATGAACCTCCTTTATGGTCAAACTGATCCAATGCCTGCACCACTCAGATTAATCTGATTCCTTTGGATGAAAACCAAGCTCTTCCTGTGGAATATGCAAGTGAGAGCACAATGTGGAACGTTGCCAGGACTGTAAGTGACCCTACAGTCACCATCTGTGACCCTTCATAATTTCTGTTACCTGGTTAATTAGCTGACAGGCAGTACACAGAATGAAATTATATTCTGCTGGTTTGGAGCCATCAGTTTAAGCTCCATCACAAAACCTGAGTAGTTGAGTTTTACATGCCACTTCCAAAAGAAATAAAATAAAAACCAAAACAAAACAGCTGAATTAGTGGCCCATTTCCTCACTGTGACTCTTCAGATAGGACTTCAATTCAGCTCCTTAGAGTACTGTGACACTCAATTTATCTTAGTGTAGCTCTGGCTCCAAGTTGAACGATTGCAAGCATTTAAATCTGATTTGTTTGACTCTCTTGGGTCCAGAGAAGAACACAGGTGGAAAGCAATCAGTTGTCTGGCCTACCTGCTCCACCCTTCTAGCTCATTCTAATTAACAGCCCTAACGGCTTCTCCTTTCAAGTGAATAGTTTAATTAACACTGGGAGTTAAAAAGGGAAGGACAGAAAAACAGAAGATACAACAAAGGTGCACAATAGGGGCCATCTCTACAAAAAAAAAAGAGATTTTTAATCTGTGTAAAAATGTATATATTTATTTGACACAAGGCAGAAAAAACTGCCCATCTACAGCGTTCTCTGTGCAAGCACCAACATTTCAAGCTGAAGAAGGGACTGAAAACCATATTAGCCAGTTCACTACTTGACAGAAACTCTTCTGCTTGTTGCCCCAGACAAAATGATCAGCCTGACAGAATGTCAGCTGTTCAGAGTTCCCAGCCTCCAGGACAGGCAGAGGACAAGCTGCACTCAGATTTCATTTGGCATCTAGCAACAGAAAGTCACAGCTAACAATACGACCACAGGACAGGAGTTCAATGCCAAAGATTTTTAATTTTGCAACCTGGTTCCAGTTCAAGACAGTACTGACCTCAGGAGCCACGGGATCCAAGAAATAAATACTTCCTCATCCACCTAAAGCAAAATCAGCCAGATTTGTGCAACCCATTAACAGAGGTGAATACCACCCCCCTGGGCACCCTGTACTATTCAATCCACCTCACAGTAAAAAGGTTTTAATGGAACTTCCCTGTGTTTCAATTTATGTACCTTTCCTCTTGTTCTTTCCCTGGGCACCACTGAGAGGAGTCAGAGGGTCTGTCTTCTTTACTCCCCTATTAGGTATTTAGGTACATTGAGAGATGCTTTCATCCCCTAATCTTCTTTTTGGTCCTTTGCTGGACTGACTCCAGTATATTCATGCCTAGAGCTGAGGAGCCCATAACTGTACCCAGCACTCCAGATGTGTCCCACCAGTGCCAAGCAGAGGGAAAGGATCACGTTCCTTGACCTGCTGGCAATTCTCTTCCTAACACAGCCTAAGTATGTTGAATTTCTTTGCTGCAAGGATGCACTTGCTGTCCACCAGGACTGTCAGACTGCTTTCCATAAAGCTGCTTTCCAGCTGGTTGGCCCCCAAGGTGTACTGGTGGAGGGGGAATCATTGCTCCCTAGGTACAGGACTTGGCATTTCCCTTTGTGGAACTCCATAAGATTCCTGTTTGCCTATTTCTCCAAAACCAACAAAGTACCTCTGAACAGTGCCAGAACCATCTGTGCACCAGCCACTCCTCCCAGTTTTGCAACATCTCCAAATTTGCTGAGGGTACACTCTGCCCCATCATCCAGGTCATTAATGAAGACATTAAACAGTTCTGGTTCCAGTATCAGTCCCTGGAATACATCACTTATAATTTGCCCTCAAGTGGCTTTCATGCTGCTGACTGCAATCCTTTGAGCCCAGTGGTTCACCCAGTTTTCAGTCCATCTCACTCCTCATTTATCCAGTCCATGTTTTATCAGTTTGTCTATGAGAACATTGCAAGAGACATCAAAATTCAAGATGAACCACATCCACTGCTCTCTCCTCATCCACTGAGCCAAAGCTACTACATTCCACCTACTAAATTTCAGCTGTGCTTCTGAAAAGAAACTGGGATTAGAGGGGTAAGGGAAAACAGTGTATTTGTGTTGAATTAAGTCACAAATGAAGCAAATAACCTGAGGCTTAGCAAGTCTGCAGACCTGCTTCATGCAGAACAGAACTAACTCTCATTTCTGACTAAAATATTGAAGGTAAGTATATCAAAAAAAGGGAAAATCACAGACCCATCACACGAAGGACTTCCAGAAAGCCCAAAGGAGTCAAGAAATAATTTGTATATTGTAAAGAGTTTCTAAGCTCATCTTATAAGAGCTCTTCTCCCACATTAATTACATGAATCCTGATTAAGAAAAACAGCTGGAAAAAAATTTACATTGATTACATGTTTTTTATAAATATATGCTATACACTCTAAAATTGATATGCATTCAGCCTGGCTATGGCAAGGATATGTTTCTGTTTGTATCCAAAACACTGATCTCAGCCAGCTGAGAAGAGGAAACAACTGTGAAGGGCCCAACGTAAATTTACAGATAAAAGGGAAAAAAGGGGTCAGAATAAACTTCAAAAAATGTTTCTCAGCATTAACATAAACAAGAATCTCTCACAGGAAGAAAAACGTGAAGAAAAACTATACACACCAGTGGAGATCAGGAATTAGGAAGAAGATGCAAATGTGATGACTGTTTCAGAAATAAAACAAGCAGCTTATACTTACCAAATTATCGGTTTCTGGGTCTTCACAGAAAAAAGGTTTTCCTTCTTTCTCCTGCTTCCTTACAAAGTTTTCAATATCTACATCAAAACTAGCAGAAGTTGTGCCTTCTGAGCCTTGTGTAGATTGTTCACATTTTTCAAATAATAGTGCTAACAAGGGAAATAGTGGGTGCCTAGAAAAAAAAAGTTTAAACACATGAATAAATATTTTCACTTATGTGTACACCACTGAAAATTAGGACATCTAACTCAGATAAGGTCACAGTCACTCATGTAAGTGTGACAAGCCTTGGAAGAGACTGCATTTAACATCACTGGTAGTAGCAAAATATGATAGTTTATTTTTCATTTTGATTTAGCACTCTGCAAAGGCAAATACAGCACTAAAATAGGTATATATTTAAATAAAGAGAACAATCAAAAGTGAAAAAGCTCTGACATACTATTTAATTCACTGAAATTGAACAGCAAGAGATACATTCATACAGTGCACTGGAAATGAGAATTAGGATTTACAAACAGGATGAATGCAGATTTAAATGAAGTCTGATAAAATTCATCTATTCTTTAACGAGGGCCACACTTATACATCACAAAATAACTTCAAAAAATTGAGAATAGTATTCAGGCTGTACTCAGAGGCCTCCTATGAAATCATGCTCTGAGGAGAAGATGATTTAGTTAGCACAAGTCTGTAAATGAGTGAATACGTCTTTCTCATCAGGTTGGCTTTTTTGGTAGTTTGTTGTTTGTTTTTTCCCTTTTTTTTTTAACCTGAAAACCAGTAATAATTCTGTCTTTATAAAATGGTTAAAGTGAAACAACATTTAACCCCATCAAAACTGAGCAAACTGCTTAGCACAGCACTTAACACTGAAAAATCTCAAATTAGTGTGTTTGTACATCAATATTTAATCCCTTTCGAGCTAATTGCTGGGCATTAGATTGTTATTGCTAAAAAAAAAAAGGAGCAAAGATCAACCTAATTACAATAAAAATAAAAACTTGCATTAAAGATAAAAACTACAATATAACAAATAGTGACCACAGTTCAACAGTCTAAGGTAGCTTGCTAAATATCCATTAGAACATCCATTAAAACTACTGAAACTGAAGAATCCTGCTATCTAGGGAAGTTGTTTTCTTGGCTGATGACTGACAGGGAGGCTAATTTGATCTCATTTTTTCCCCTGCAAACCACGGAGACAGTTAGCCAAGAGATCATCTGGTTTTAAGCTACTTATTATTATTTATTAAAAAAAAAAAATCCTCTACTCTTTACCCTTCAAAAGACAGAACACAAGTCCATTACTACCTGTAAATGGCCTGCTTGTCTGCATCCATTGGAGTTTGAGATTCTACAGGGGCAGGACTCACCCCTTCTGCATCAGTCTCAGAGCAGTTGGGATCTTGTTCAGTTTTTAACTCTGTCACCACTTGCATCTGTAGAGAAAGAGTAAGTTACAAGTAAATCTGTAGGCTCAATGTAAAATAAGGGCACTGTTCTCTAGGAAAAGAGGAAAGCAAAGGGCTCCTAAATTGCCAGAAGGTTGGTATGACTTGGCAGTGACACAAAAAAAGTAGCAGTAACAAAACCCCTCTTTTAATCCTTGACACTTTTTTATGGGTAAAGGTCACTCCAAGTTTCAGCATTTGGCTTTAAAATGAGATTGACAGATATTAGTAAACTGTTAAAGCATTCTGTCTCTGAAGTGGTTGCTTTTGGAACAGGCTAAAGGACGCTGCTCCAAAAAATTTATGGGGATGTCTGCATAAAAATCCTCTGGGATGAAATCAATGTAAAGAAAAGTTTCTCCCCTTAAGTTTTCTTTATTTCTTACTGTACTTTGTATCAGGATACTGAAGAAGAGGATCTCCAAATTTTTCTTGTCCATTAAAATGCACATTTCCTCAAGAAGAACTGAAATATTCTTGTGTCCCTCCAAAATCCTTCAATTATCAGGAGCACAACATCCCCTGACTTTTACCACTCCATTTTATCTATTGTAACAACCAATTATTTTAGGAAAAAACAGCAGTAACTGCTTCTACACATCCATTTAACACAGTCATACAATGTGCTACCACCAGAAAAGCAACACAGAGCCACAGCTTCAACTGAGCATCTCCTGCATTGCACCACGTGGCTGGGAACACCTTTGGGGTGCTTTGAAAGTGGTTTTCCCATCACCTCCAGCTAAATATCTTTTGGACTGAAAGGTCTTAAAGGAACCTGACCTGTGAAATTCATAGTTTCCACCCCTCAACCCAAACTCCTTAGTTTTCTGCCCTTTGAGCATCTGCACAAAGCTATTAAATCACTGCAGTCTTTTCTCCTACTTCTCCAACAAGTTTTATATCCTTGGAGGATGGACATTGTTCCAGACATCTCCAGGCAGCCAGAACTGACAACTGCAGAGAGGAAGTGTACAGAATGAAATGCTCTGCCCTCTTCTCCCATCAGATGAAATCATCCCATCGCTCACAGGAACCCTCTCAGATGACAGCCTGGCCTCCACAAACTATTGGAGAACCTGGCTCTGGCAGAATTTATTTCCACACAACAAAAAGCAGAAGAATTTGTGCTGTTCTGAACATGAAAGTCTGGAGGAACCAAAAGCTCTGTGCTTTGTCACCTGTAAGGGCCAAGCCATCTCCCAGCAAAATCAGAAACTGAGAAAAATCCAGCATCTCCCACCCAGCTGAGCAGCCTGACTTACAAAAAGCTTCCTCCAGAGAAGACTTTTAAGCCAGAATGCTTGCAAAAAAAAAAAGATACAACTAATGGACTCATTTCTTGGCTAATGACAGGAAGGAGGAGCAAATGAAAAGGGGATGACTCAGACAAGTGATTATAAATGTTGGCCATACAGCTGCAGAGCTTGAAGGGAGAGAGTATGTTCAGCTGGGGTTCTATCTCACTGTGAAGAGGAAATAGCTCACTTAAAACTGCAAGATATTTTCTGTGGGCCATTTCCAAACTACAAAAACAGCAGGCACCCGAATTACCTGGACACTGAGAGCCTGAAATAAAGAACAAATAAGACAGAAGAAGCTCTCTCCCAATCTGTTATTAAGAAAAAAAAAAATCAGATTTTACTTTCACTGATGTGCCACAGGATAGCATCTACTTGGTGGGGGAATAAAGCCAAGGATATAAAGCAGGTGAGAGAAGAGAGAGAAATTAGAACTGCAGTGAAAGAAACAAACAACAACAACAAAAAAACCAATAATCCCAGACTCTGTTCAGATAAACATTTCCTAAGAGATGGGAAAAATTCCTCTTTTTCTTCTGACTGTTCCCCATTGTTGCCATCTGCTGACAGAAGTACTTGTATCTGCTGCTTAGGGCTGATACAGAGTAACCTAAAAATGCATCTTCAGAGTACAGGCCTTTAGGCATGACTTGTCTCCAGTCAACAGTATTTTAATCCGGCTATTTCAAATTGTTGCAATATACAGCCTGCTGTAAAAAAAAGCAACATATCCCAGCGTGTTTCATTATTCCAGCTGTTTGCTAACTCAAATAAGAAACTGGACTCTGACTGAGTAGCTTTTCAGTTATCAATTCTAACCCATAACCTCATTAAAATGAATTTAAGTATATAACCAGTTTTCAACCCGAAGCATAATTCCACCAATTTAAATGCAGTCAAAGTAGCATATAATTCTAGATAACTAAATTTTTCCTTCAGTTGCTGAAGACCAACGAGTCTGTGACTGTGTGGACATCTTCTATCTGTTGTAACTTCAGACATAGGAACACTGAAGTACCATATACACAAAATATTATGGATACCCCTTTGATTTTCCTAAAAATGGGATCATTACAGCACACAAATAATATAGTGTAGATAGAGTAAAACCCCTTACCTAACCATTCTCCCAGAAGTTAAGTAAAAACCATGCAAAAATTAGTTAAACCCTTAATAAGTACCCAAGAATTAAAGTGATAAGCTGCCATTTTTTAAAGATCTTGCTTTACAAATAAGAACAGATAATTAAATAATGCCAAAGTAGCCATTAAGGACAAAGTCACTACTTTCTTCCTCTTGCTAACTGTACTTAGTTCATAGAGAAAAAGAACCACACCTACCTGTTGTCCATCTTGATAGTTGTCTATACTTAATGTCTGTGTTGCCATCATGGTTAATAAAACGTTACTTATGTCAAATCATCATAAGTGTGAACAAATATTCTTTAGAAGGAAAAAAAGAAAAAGTTACAAAAGTGACCGCTTAAAATCCAGTTCTAAAAAGTGACAAGAAGAAAAAATAAAGGAAAAAAATAAGATTTATGCACATCTCTCCCCAAAGAAATCACTGAGTTTATTGACAATGAAAACTACATGCATATTTGAACAACAACTTGATTATAAAGTTTCAGAAGTGACCAAGGAGTTCTGAAATCTCGTTTTCAGAGACATCTGATACTTTGGGAAACATTAATTAAAATAGGACTTCAGCACAAGTAAATACATGTATGTTATTCCCTCTAGGCATTAGCTGGAGTTTGGTGCCCAGATGAGTTAAATATTTTTAAGTCAGACACCTGGTAATTAAAAAAAAAATAAACTAGCAAAGCACCACCACCAGATAGAGTGTACCCATCAAATTACTAATTTACAGTTCATTTTCTTGTCAGATTTGTAGCCATTACAACTGAAATCACATAACTCATTAAGCTATTACCATTAGCTATTACCACAGAATTCAATTTTTGACATGTAGGAGCCCTAATGTTTAGCTACTATAAAAAAAAAAAAAATCCATACTAAAAAAGAAGTCAGAGCTCATGTCTTGAAAAAGATTACATCCAGGTATTAAGTCCAAGTTTTCTGCTCTCCTTCACTTATGCCAGTATTGAAGAACTAAGTTTTAGAACATTCAGCAGTTTAAGAGCTGAGCAGAACTTTTTTCTTTGTAATGTGTTCAATCCCCACAAATTTTTCAACTATTTTTAAATCTTTCCTTCAGCATTGCATACTACTATGGTACAGGACCATTTTTAAGAGCAATTTTTACATTTCTGGATATTTTCCCCTACAGTTTATAATAGTCTCAAGTAAGTGTTTCATTTTGGAAACACAGAACAAATTTCAAGATTCCCTTCTCTGTTAACAGTTTCAGGCACAGAGACAAGCCAAACTCCTCAGGACAAACCTCAAGCCTTACTTTGCATCAAGTTCTACTCAAAGTGTGATTCCTAGGCATTGCTGCAATTTTAAAACTTTTAAAACAACTTCAGAGACCAGAGAAGTTCACCAGGATGATGTAAACACGGCTTCCTTTGCAAAATAGGTTATATCTGTCTACAAAACATCAGTATCTCTTTCTTTGAAACTCCTAAAATATTACTGATTTCCCCACCAAAATTAAAAATAAAAAGGCAACAACAGAAATGCACTCACTGAAAGAAGTACTTCAGATTTTAAAATTTTGTTTATAGTTATAATCATTTGCTGTTAGAAGTTAAATCAGCATTTGCCACAACAGCAAAGTGAGATACCTTTCAAAATACTTTGAGGGGACACATTCTAAAACATCATCCTGTAAGCAGAGTTTAAACATTTATTTTATTTCATAGATGGCAGGTTACAGCCAAGGCAAGGTCTCTGTATTTATAGAGTGAACAAGCACATAGAAAATGCTGCTTTTCTTCCTCCTCAAAAGGCACACGTAATTTCTGACTGTGACACCCAAAGTACAGACCAGACTACCCTCAAAATAAAAGTAGAGCAATTGAGATGGTCAACAAAGGAAGAGTAAACACTATTTAATAGTTCTAAACCTGAAGAAGTTCATCATAAAGCACTGTTAAATAGATTGTTTGGCTGTGGGAGAAAGATGAAGTTCCTGGTCAGAAGTGAGGAAATAGAAGGTGAAACAGTCATAGAAGAGGAAGAATGTCTTAGAGCTCACAAGGATGTGAGATCATACTGGTGGCAGAAAGAACTACATGGGGAGGGAAGCAACAAAGATATGTAAACCTGTAAAAACAATAGGGCATGGCAAGAATTTCTGGAGAACAAGACAAGCTGGACCAACCCTTCATTCCAGATTTTCATAAGGAAGAGATGTTCCACATCTGGAAGGCCCTCAGGACACACCAAAGAAGAAAGGAGGTGCACAGCTTTGAGCTAGATCCATAGATTACTTAATCTAGAAGGACTTTTCCCCTATTTTGTCCCAGGGGAAATACTGGAAAGAATTCTACATGGGTATATCCTTTATTTCCCATAAGAGCTTCCCCTCTGACTTATAATTACAGCAGAAAAAGATTAAGCTATTAGGCAAGATAGGAACTGATGAGATTTAGTGAAGACAACTACAGCAAATCAAGAAGAACAAATTGAGCTAATCACACACTTAAACTGAGGCAATTAACCGAGGAATTACTTTGGTTCACTAAAAAGAAACATCTCCTCATTACCCAGAAGCGGTAAGAAACAAACTATGCTAAACTTTAAGAAAAGTGACTGAAAAGGTATTTACACATTTGGCTTTTATAAGCTAATTTCAGCTGCAGCACCCAGCTCTCGTTAGCAGACACAGCCCCAGCAGATGTTCACTCTGCAGACAGCGATGCTGGTATCGCTCCCAGATGTTTATCAGTGCCACCCTGCCAGAGCTAATTACTTCCACAGCTCCTCCACGGAGCTCACAGAGCACGTGAGCAGTTTCTGATCCTTTTTTTTACATCAAGTCAGGCAGGCCAGTCCAGCCCTGTGTTAAAGGTGGCTATGATGGAAACCAGCTGACTTTGTCCCAGGCACGTTGCTGTGCACTCACACAACCCCTGCTCTTGGCTGACCTGCTCGTGCGGTAATTTCTGGCTCAAGTGTGTTGATTTTCAACTCACAGCAAGACCATCTTTAACCAGCACAGCTATACCTTAGGCCATATAGTATTGGGTATCTGAGGTGAACCTAAAAACATATGACTGCTGGACAACTTAGCTTTCAAAATGCCAATTATTCTTTGTGAAAGGAATCGGGAGTAGAAGGAAAGCTGTGCCTTTGTGTTATAGTCAGAGAGTTACAAATACCAAAAACAACCCGAGGGTGAGTCTGCCAGTCTGCTTCACACAGAACAGAACTAACTCCCATTCTATTTATTTTGAAAGCAAAGCGTGTGGAAAACCCAAGGAAACACTTAAGGTCATGTAACTGGAAGCTGATGCATGAACTGCAATTAGAGACTCCACCAATATCTGTGGTGAAAGGAGTTCACAAAAGCATTGTGTTCTACAAAGAAAAAGGGGGAAAAAAGCAGGCCTTTACTACAATTAGAAGTAAAATGTAAAGCAGGGAGGAAGCTAAATGGAGTAATCATAATTAGAAATGTGGAGACTCTATGCAAGCTGAATATCCAAGGAGAAGAGATTAAAGGTGAGCTGAAACAGGCACACAAAGTGATCACTTAACATACATCACTCCTCACTTGCTCTGCTTACTCCTTTGTAATTAAGAGCAAAGGGACCACCCAGTAACGTTAACATAAGGTGCAAGTAAGCTGTTGGAGTTCAGTGGTATCGTTTTTTAACATATACAAGCTAAAGCAGATGTTTGTAAGAGATATAAATAGTTATGCTTCAGGCTATAAACTAACCACTAACCCTCTTAGGGATGTGAAGAAACTACCCACCAGACTGGTTAACAAGTAATCATTCCTTCTAATTTTCCCTCATACATGTTCCTTTGAAGTCCTTCAGAGAGAACTGGATGACTGGCAGATTCACCACAGCTCTTTTGTTCATTCTTATTTAACTTCAGTCCTGTCACTTGCTACATAACATAAATCCTTACATTCACATACAGAGCTAAAAAGAAACAGAAGTCAGAATAGCAAGTCTTGTTTGACACATGAAAAGCATCTAGAACTGGCTTCACTTTTCAACACAATACATGATGGTATTTGCTTCCAGGGCACACTGTTTTCTAAATGAGATAAAATATTGTCTGTGAGAAAGCTGCTCACCCCTTTCCTTCAATGGGTTGAAGAAGACATGATCTTGTTGCAGCAGAGATGCCACTCACGTACAACGTCGAGGGCAGAAACCTAAAAAACAACAGAAAAATAATCAGAAGAAAAGAACACAGAACAAACTTTTCTAAGACTGAATGTGATTTAAAAAAAATTCTGGTTTATTATGTGGTTCCCTCACCAATTTAAATGAACTGACAGGATTTTTTTTTTGCATGTTTTGCAAATTTTTTTTTGCATTGTTAATAACCTCTAATCACACCCGTATGCCATGCTATTATCTGCACTTTCCCTCATCTTATTACATTCATTCTCCATATTTACCTTTGTGTTTGCTGACACCTCTAACAGAAGGCTCCATGTGGACTAATAACTCACTCACTGTTCAACCTTCATATTTTACTCTATGGCTCAGTGTCTGCCTGCTAAGACTAGACAAGGCACATCCCAAAGATAAAACTACGAAATGCAGACAGGAATAACTCACCAGTGTTCTAAAAATTAAGCACGAAACCAAAAGAGGTGAGAGACCTTTCCTCCCCCCCCATTTAAAGTTCCTTCATAATCATTTGAATACATTCCATGGTAAAATCAAAGCATGATCAAGTAATCTACTGCATGATAAAAACTAACAGATGATAGGAATGGACCATTGTTAGGCTCCTGTGTTCTGGGAACACAGGTTCTGCTGCAGGATTATGCAGCAGTTTTAAAAAGCTTTAAAAAAATCACCACTTAAAATGACTCGTATTGTATTTAATAGCACCTGTTTGATACATTGAAGCTACTTTAAAAAAAGCAGTAATGATTGTGAAAGCAATGTAGCAAAGATTGTGAAAACATATTTAGAAAACACAACTGCTGAAAAGCATTAAAAAACCATCTCAGGGGAAGTTCCAGGCACCGAGGTTGCACAGAGGCCACCTGAAATGATATGATGGCTAAAACACACAGCTCAGATCCTGAACCAGATTATCTGTTTCTCACAAAGGCCACAACTGCATGAGACCTGGAGTGAAAGTAACTCCAACATTTTTGAAAGCGAGAGGAAGTTGGTATTTGGATTGGAGAACCAAAATTTATGCATGTGTTGGTTTTTAGACAAGTTCATAGAAAAGCAAAATTCTAAGGGCCTAGACACAACCTAGATGCCAACTCTGGTTCATGAAACTTTGTTCTAAACAGAGCAGGGAAGACACTGAGAGGTTCTAAGGCAGTATAAATTTCAGCCGTTGGTAAGAGATTAAACACTGAGCTAGAAGGAGTTTCAGTCCAAAGTGATACATACACCTGGTCTTGAAGACTCAAGGAGCAGATGAGACATGAAAAGTTCTTACCACTTTTCCTTAAACTGTCAAAGAATGGGCTTCTCCCATTTTTGCAGCTTCTCAGTTCTGTTCTGAGAAGACTGTAACCCTCTTATTCCCTTCTTCACACACCATGTATTTTGTATAATTTTGGTATCCATTTTCACCCACCTCAATTTACTGGTCTACTTTCAAATAGAGGACTTCTCACTATTCATATTATCTTCAAAATGTAGGTCACTGCCAGATAAACTGGGATAATTAGATAAAATATCTATTCCTTGCCTCAGACATAAAGGAGAATTACTGCAAATCTGAAAAACCTGTTCCCTTCATTCAGAAACAACTGCAGCAATGAACCAGTGGTGCCACTGCTGCCACTTCTGGTCAGTCAAAAATACTTAATGCATGAAGAAGCAGCTCCTGCCTGCAAAGCCCTCAGCTGAAACTCTGGAAATAGGCAAGTTTCTAGACAGCTTATGAGATATGGAGGGCAGGAAGAAAGAGGTGCTAAAGAAACACAGGCCCAGTGAAAGATGCTGCAGAGGGAAAGGTGTGGCTGAGAAGGAGCCAGGGGACACTGCAGTCATCTTGCCCTCTTCCAAGAGACACTTGACAGCATTTAAGACTACTGTCTACCATAAAACATACCAGACAAGAGAGATCTGAGTTTGCACTTTATGTCTTCTTGCATATCTCAGTGGGGGCAAGAACAGGGAGCAGATACACCTGTGAAAGGATGGAGACAACACCAAGGCACTGTGGAGCCTAAACCAGGAATTCCTCTTGCCAATTTGTGTTTTCCCTCTATTCCTCTTGCTGAAGAGCTTTAAAGTTACGTTATCATAATAAAGATACTTAATTATGAAACCAAAACGAAGGGCAACTTGCTTTGTCTCTTAGAAAGGGAATCACCATTGAGGTTTTTACCACAAAGCAAAATATGAACGTGCCCAGTCAATCATCCAAGAACCCTCTCTTCCATCATTCTCTCACTTTGCATGTCAGCCAGGAAGAAGCAAAGACCTGTGTGTACATTCACACGTACACATATTAGCAGACATCAAGACCCAGATACATTTGTATCTTTACAGATTCAAATAATAATAATAATAATGAAGAAGTAAGCAGAGTACAGATGACAACATGCCACCCAGGATTCATTCCACCTTTGCTGCAGTAGCTATTGATCTCCATCAACCTGCCCACGAAGAGTCATTCAGTGAAATTAAGACAAACAAATCAATATGAAGTTGATGCAGACAAGTTTATTAAAGCTGTGCTCAATGAGAATGTTCTCCTCATTCAGCAGCAAGGTGGCTTCCATTTCCTCTGTCTTATGTACTTACAAAGTACAGCCATTATTTAGAATATTATACTTTTAAGAAAGATGATGTTCCTGTTCAGGAACATAATACCAGCCTGAGGGAGTTCCATCACACAGATACAGCTACACAGCTATTATACAACAGCTATGCTGTCAATTGCCCTGGGAGTCAAGCCCTAAAAAGCCACAAAACCAATTTTTGGCTGCAGTAAAATGAGATTTACTTTGTGTCACTTTTTTCCCTTTATTGTTTGGTGGTGCAATAGAGTTATTTATATGTTAATCTTAATGAATATGAGATTATATTAAAAAACTGAATGCATATTACACTTTAGGAAACCGAAAACTAAAAATAAATTAAAATCCACAACTAAACTTGAATTTCTGCAGAGATACAGGTTACACTAAAAGCTACCACCAACCTTTCTTAGCATGTAGGATTTTGAATATACATACTACATAGCACTGATTTCATTCAGTAAGATCTCTCCAACACTATATATACTGCTCTGTTGTCTCATTAATCTTTCATAGCATCCTCTTTTCATATCCCCCCATTTCATAACTTAACATGCCACACAAAATATTTATATCACAGACCACCTTCCAAGCATCACCACACAATGTCACACAACATGACAAACAACAAACTACCTCATTAAAAGACTTGTGTTACTTTAGCAATTCACTCTTTCTGTAAACTCTGCTTTTGGTATATTTAAATCAGGAAATTCTCCTACTTGCAGGAACCAAATACAAAAAAAAAAAGTATTATGAAACATGCCACTTTATAAGCTAAAATTGCACATACAGTTAACTGATAAAATGGATATTAAGGATGCATAGATCATATAAATTTCTCAAGGCACAGCAACAGAAGTAAAATTAAGGACATCTGGGTCTTGTGAGGAACTCCAGCTCCTAATTCTGCACACACCCTTTGTGTGCACACCGACATATTTCTTGGGAAGTGGTGCATAATCATGGTTTATGTTCCTGGTTCATGTCATCACCAATTTACCACAGCACTTCTTAACAACAGAGACAAGAAAGATGAGGAATCCTACTCAACCCAGTCACAAAATAATGTCACCTCAGTATCCCAGGTATCCTGCCCCCAGGTAGCTCTTGGCATTACAGGAGGAAATCCTCAGGTTGCTCTCCTACCTCCTCCAAAATGAAAAACCTCATTCTTCTGACTATCAAAAGATTCTCAAATTCAAGAAACTTCCTGCACCATCTCAGTTTCCCCTGCCCAATTCACACTGTAATTTGACCCTGCTTTATTAGCTCCATAAAGTAAGGAATTATGGGGACTAAGCAGCAATTTTGGCAAGAGAAAAACAAAAGTCGGGGGAAACGAAACCTCCTTTAATTGCTCCAAGACTCCTGAGGGATTAGGGTATGAGGGAGCAAAAATATTTCCCATCACTCCCTCATCCATCACCAATATTCACATAGTAAGCAAAGATTCCTTTCTTTCTGTCTTCTTAACACTGCAAACTAAAGGACTTTTCATGGTTCCAGCGTGTGAATCCTCACATTCACATCATGAATCCTCACACATATTTCTTGTAACATGACAGAGAAGGAATTTTTGCCCCTTGGCTTTTACCCAGTGTGCTGTCATAACATTTTGGACACAAAAATCAAGAACACAGTGCCTAGAGAGGGTGGCACTACAAAGACTATGAACACCTCTCACATACCAGAGGACGTGTATCAGCAGTTCCACAGCTGGAACTGATCCTGGTGCAACTGTCTTACTTAATGATATTTAATTACTTTTTCAAAAAAAATTACATTAAGAAAAAAGAAAAAAAAAAGAAAAAAAGAGAGAACTCCACCCTCCATATCTCCCTGGCATTCCACACATGGATAAACAACAAGGTTGCTTATATACTAGACACAATTTCATCCCTTTGCCATTGAAGCCTTTGGAATATCCACACAAGCTTGCAGTGAATCTCCTGCTTTTGGAGACACTCATAGAACCATATCCTGCCAGACAAATTAAGTCAAAGCAACAGGAAATCCTATTTTAATCATGATTTGCATCAGCACCCAATAAACTATGACCGAAGTTAATCTTGTTTTGTGTTTATATTTTGTGGTTTCATGAAGACACAGAATAACCACCAGTCTCACTGCCTTTATTGCTATTGAATACTTTACAATGTTAGCAGTTTATGTAAACATATGTTTTGCTTTCCAACATTTTTATTATAAAATCATAAAAGTTTCCAAATACTCGTTCTGTAAAAGACTGAATTCCTAACACTATTGAAGTACAGTTGAAGGATGAAGAGGAGTTTTATTTAAATAATAACTGCATTTAAAATGGACTTTGGATATTGAATGGGTAAGAAAATCCCCTCCATGCATTTTTGGCATTTAAACACTTCATCAAGATCAAGATGTTGCATTATCAACTATTTCATTTTTATGTCCTTTATGATTTCAGGAATAACAACCCCATTAATGAATCAAGCATTGACTTGGACCAGTGAATAAATTGAGTCACATCAAATCCTAGTCCAGCAACCCTCTGTCAAATCCAGTTCCAATCCACCACTAACTTTTCCAGAACCTTCCCTGTTTTCACTCTTAACATTTGGTAAAACCTGAACAACTTTGTTTTGCTACTAAGTTTAGGCCCTAAAATAAACTGTTATTTTCTTTTCAATATGGTGATTAAATAAAAATCCTTCCTTTCCTGCCCCACTCTGTTTCCCACCTCTCCCCAAACATCAGCCCTCATCTCACCAGGAGCAGGACTGCTGCCTAAGTGTTCTGGGGTTGGGGGAGAAGCACAGGTAAAGAAAGACTATTAGGATTAAATTTATCCATCCTCTACTGCTGTGGGACACATCACGTTACCCACTTGGTCCAGAGGATGACTGCACAGTCAGGGGCCACGTAAGGACCAACAGGCAGGAAAACACTCATGTTACATGGAATATTCAGATAATTTAGT